TGTGAGCTAAAACTTAAAAGTCCCCCACACAACCTAGCTAAATTTCCTTATCAGCAAACATACATACAAGAAACAGAATTAGCTCTATGTAAAAATAAAGAGGTGCGTAATTTTGACCATTCAAAGACCATATATAACTCAATGACCATAGTGCAAATAGTTATGCATTCACTTAAAACTAATGTCTGGTAGTTTATAATGATATTCTTGGCCTTTTCTAAATAGTATTCAGAAATTTCAGTTCAAGTGGTCAGTTGCAACAGATCTTATTTTGCTTTGGTAACAGACCTACATTTTCTTTCCTCTAAAACTTGAACACAATGGATCTAGAAATATAATCTGAACTACCCGATAGAAAATCACTTATGGAACGATAAACATCATCCATTACTTTCAAACAAAGTAATTTCAAAAGCTCTTTCAATGTGTGAGAAACGCTGTCATGCTGGTTTCCATTTAAAAAACTAGTCAATATAAAGAAAAAAAACCTTGAGCGTCCTCAAAATGCCAGCTGTTTCTCTTGTTTAGTCTCGAGTGGAACAATGTTGACGCCGGCTTCAGTCGTGTGTCGTCTTTTTGAAGCACAAACTATTCTTCCGTCGCTTGCCATTAACGAAAGAGGTTGGTTCTTCCCATGCTTCTCACCACTATGTAACCAAACCAAGTCTAAACACAGACTAGAATGGGATTAAACCAGGATTTATTACAAACTAATCCAGGTCTAGAACGGTCAAAGATCAAATAAGGACATAGATTGAAAAACTAGTAAGTAAATCAGCCACAAAGCTGTGAAGTGACAGAATACGTGGATATGTGTTTCCCATCAACTAAACTGTCTATTATATGTTGAATTTAGTTGTTGATTAAAAAAACAGCTGTAATTTGAAAAATTCTACTTTTAATACCATACTGTGAATCATTCTGAAAGCGTCTTCTTCTAAAACACCGGTGAATGTTGGACACAGAGAAATCACATGGTAAGAAAAAAGGGATGAGAGAACCTTAATTTAGCCCACTGTGGAGAAATGTTATTGTTGTAGTGCACATTACAGAACCCAAAAAAACAAATAGCCATCAACATAGATAAAACCAAAAATAAATATAACCAAAATAAAAAAAAAAACTGAAAGAGAAAGAAATATCATAATGAATTAAAGAAAATTAAAAAAATGACAATTATAATCATATAGATTGGAAAAGGCTGTTTTTGTTGGGTTAGGGTTAGGGTTAGGGTTAAGTGAAAAAGGCAATCAAAACCTTTGTAGGTATAATGTTGAGGTTCCTTTTAAAAAATAGCAAATAATTATCTTTTTTCTTTTCTTCGATCAGGAATTATTATATTAATATTGTCAATGTTGATATTTTGGTTTTCTGTAAGCTAATATAAACCCAGACTAAGATATTTTTCTGGGTAATAATATCAAAATATTAGTTAAAAATTTTTGAAAGTATAATGTACATGCTCTCAAATGTCATGAAACTCCCTTTATAAACTAGAACACCAATCAAGACTGAATGACCAAAAACACAGGGAACCAGGAAGTCGCTGTTTATCAGAACTAATTATGTACGTATTTCAGAATGATAAATCATACTGTTGGGCTAAAAAGGTGCTAAATACAGTATGTCATTAGCCGTTGGTCATGTGCGGAGCTGATAAGACACTCCCTTAGTTTAACACAACATAACCGTATGTGTCAGCTGGGACATGGCCTTGTTAGAGAGAACAGTCAACATGGAAAATTCTGTAAAATCAACAGTGGAAATGGATTAAAACAACAAATGAGACACACAGTATCAACTTAAAGGCCACATTCAATAATTTCATATGGAAGAGATGGGAGGACACTATACTGTAATCCTATGGGAGTGGACCATGTGCGTGAACTATCAAGCTATTGTATTTGTATTTACTGGTGGGGGGTTTTTAGACCAATGCAAAACCATGTTGTTTTTTTGCCTTGAAAGTTTCCGAATATGGCTGACATTATTTGGCTTTAGACTACAAGTAAAATCAAATGAGAGGAATCGAGCTGTTCAAAAACACAACTGGACTTAGAGATGGGGGGCTCAACATTCAAACCACGACTTTGCTTCCATCATTGGCTTTCACATGCATCTTTAGATCCGCTTTTTCTGACGGACAGAACCACCCTCGCTCAGCCGATCAGCTCTCAGCCTAAAGCGTCAAATATTGGATTTGTTTACATTGACAGGAGGATTACTATAAGTCCCGTCCTTTAAATGATTATACACATTTTATATCTATACTATTGAGGTACAATCCATACATAACATCTCCATGGCAATAGGCAAGTAGAAAAGTTGCACAGTGCATTTTTAAGATAGACTATACCACAGTCATTGCTCTAATTAACCAAAGTTTTTTAATTTTCTAGTATTTTTGATAATATTCAGCTTTTGGATTACCATGTTCGAACAAGTCCTAAAGTGTGGCTGTAAAATGAACCAAGACACAAACTTCTGAAGCGCAGCAAAA